AATTTATGCTTATTTTAATTTGAAAGGCAATATTTAAAAAATAATTTTTAATATGATTAAAAATATCTTTCCCAAATTTATCAAGCTGTGGACCAGATTTTTTACGCATTACTATTAAACCTTCATCACGATAAAGGTCTAAATCATTGTGAGGTCTAAATCAATTGTTTAAAACATTGCAGAAAAAGTTAAGTAAAACTTTTACTTATTAAACCTAAATTATATAGTCCAACAAATTCACAAATTTCTGCTCCATAATAACTGCCCATTATCATATCAAAGCAGTCATCAGTGTTTTTCTTTTTTCGTTTTTCCTTGTTAAAATAAAGTAAGGTTTTTCTGCAATGCATTGTAATACAAATTGTCTCTTTTGGAATAACTGTGTGGATTTTGCAAATTTAGTTGCTTTATCTGAAATATCTGAAGTTATTGAAAGGTAAAAATAGAGTGGTAAAAATAGAGCGGTAAAAATCCTCAAAGTAAGATAAGTCAAAATATTAGACAAATAAGTAATATTCTTAAAAATAAACTAAATTTACAAAAATTTACAAAAAATACCAATGATATTGTGAATTGGTTTTCCATTACTAAAATTAAAAAAGATAGTATATTTATATAATTCGACGTAACCCAGCATACATTCTATAGCTGAATTTTAATGGACCTATATAGGCACTTTGAGCGGTCCAATTTATTTTTGCTTATCAGTTACTTGGTCATTGGCAACCACCAATAGTTGCCACTATTAACATTTTAGAAAATTATCGGCAACTTGTAGCGACTACGACTAGTGGTCCACTAAGTAACCGATGAGCAAAACTCCAATGAATCGCTCAAAATTGTCTATAAAGGTCTACTGCAAATCCACTAAAACAATGTTTGCTGGGTAATGATATTTACTCTTCAATAACTGCAGATATTTTAGATAAAGCAATTGAATTTGCGAAAATCCATGGTTATTCCAAATGTGACAATTTATATGCATATATAATACATTGGAGAAAAACCTTAATTATTTTAATAAGGAAACATGGAAAAAGAAAAACATACATAACTACTTTGATGTATAATTAAATAAAATAAATGTTAAAAACACAGTAAACATATATCTATATTCCTAGTACTGCAACTATGTTTTATTCAAATATTATAAAATAAATAAATATTAGAGTTTACCGACTAACATTAAAGTTAATGTTGCATTTGAGCGAAAATTTGAATAACTAATTAAACTATATTTATAAACTATATTTAGGGGAGAATGGGGAGAAGTGGGAAACGTAAATTATTTTTTAGGGTAATTGTAATATCTTTTTTATTTGATGTGTAAACTAAACCTAACAAGTTTTTACGAATAAACCTTCTTTTTAGGCACTGATTCAATCCCCTTAGGTTTCCAGCCAATTGTAACGAAGTATTTGCTTTTAGAGAAACCTTGTCATTCGGGTAAAGTGGGACAAGTGTGAGTAGAAGTGGAACAAATAAATTTAAAAAAACATATTAACACAAATTTTTTGCTTTCACCAATCGAAATAATCAAATGGCAACGGAAAGAAGCGGGGCATAAGTATTTTTTTTTTCTTTCCCACTTCATCCCAATGTAAAAACTTTTTAAAGGTACATTTCAAAATTAGGACTTCTAGTGCACGCAGGAAAACAAAGCAATTTCTGTTGAATAAAGGGGAAGAGATTTAATTGTTTACATTAAATAACAGTATTTAGGCACCACTCCTAATTAAAAATTTCGGGCTGTTCCACTTCTTCGGCGTCCCACTTTTTCCCACTCTCCCCTACTATTATATTATTATTTAAGTATATTTTTATTATATTATTTATTATACATTTATGAAATCGATTTTTTACAATAAGTAAGAATTAATTTTATAAAATTGATTTTGAAGGCTAATGAAAAATTTACTTCTTAAATAATTTAATTAGAAATCGAAGAAAACCACTCAATTCTTTGAAAGTTAAAGAGAATATTTGGAAAACTTGTTGGCATCAAAGAAAAAAAGACTTGTTTAACTACGTTTAACAATTTACTGAAGTTTATTTCTGAAACTTTTGATTTTTTGTTAATTGATTTAATATAAACTTTATTTTATTTGATATTTTATCTTATGAACAAATAATGAACGGATAAAACAAGTTTTATTAAACAAAGTAACTTTTTTAATGTTTAACATAAAAAAAAACATAACATTAAAACATAAAAAATTATTAGAAAAACTGATAAATGACCCAATAAACAAATGAACGCTTATTTAAAGTCGAAACAACATTTGGACAAAACGTTTAGCATTGGTCGATTTTTTGTTCATAATGAAATACAAAGTAGAGTTAGAAGAAATTTCCATTAAACGTCGAGATTTTTTCCACATTTATTATAGACATATATATATATATATATATATATATATATATATATATATATATATATATATATATATATATATATATATATATATATATATATATATATATATATATATATATATATATATATATATATATATATATATATATATATATATATATATATACATATATATATATATATATATATATATACATATATATATATATATATATATATATATATATATATATATATATATATATATATATATATATATATATATATATATATATATATGTTGTTGTTTTATATAGAACTGTTTTTTAGAAACCAAACTTGCGTTGTTGCTAAAGTTGTTAACTAAAAGGTTTTGTAAATTTCAGGAAAAAAAAAGTTTTTTCATAAAGATATATCAATATCCTTTACGAGGAATTAATGTTTCTCGTACGAATTAAACAAAACATTATAAATTGTCGATTTTCATTTTGCAAGTACATTCCAAATGATACGTTAAATTTCAAAACAAAATTTTATATTTGCTACAATGAAAATAGCGTTTTGAAGTTTTATCATCAGAATCACATAATACTAACAATTTTAAATTTTACTTTTTGAAATAATGATAAGAAATAAAATTTAAGTCGAAATGAATTCTTTCACATTCGGAAAAAAAAAATATGAAAAACGTTATAATAGATAATAAAAATGTTTAATTAGTTATTATGTAACTAAGTACTATTTATTGATTAGTATTCATAAATTTCAAATGAATATACAAATTTGTATTAATAAATAAATAACCGTATTCATAACATATATTTTTAAAATGTCATTTTACGTTCAAGATAATATAAACAATATAAACAAGATAATAAAAATAATATAAACAAGAAAATCAAGATAATATAAATAATATAAACAATAAAATCAAGATAATATAAATAATATAAACAACATAATAATAAAATCAAGATAATATAAATAATATAAACAACATGTATAACAAACAAATTAAAAATTTAAAGCAACTTATCATATGAATTATATCATGTAGATGCGCCTATAACGAATAAGTAATTTAAAATTTAATGTGCATCCGTGGCGCAGTCGTAAAAGTTCTAACTCAGAACCATGAGGTGCGAGCTTCGACGCCGGCTCTCTAGCCCAATAAGCGACATTGGTAAGTAAGAAGACGTAAACTTCATAATTAAATGCTCTTCAGCGTTGCTCCGTAGTTTTTAAGGTGCACCTTAAAAGCAACAACAACAACATCAAAAAATCTGTCAACAATGCAAAAAAAAAAAAAAAAACTTTTTTTAAAGAATATATATATATATATATATATATATATATATATATATATATATATATATATATATATATATATATATATATATATATATATATATATATATATATATATATATATATATATATATATATATTTATATTTATATATATATATTATGTATATTAAATAAATATTTTCGAGTCTTTTCAGAAGGTGCACGTTTCGAAATACTCCTTTAGTAAGAGATTGTTATGAAAGTCTTTATTTGAAATGATTTGTTTCACAAGTTTCTTTACAAGATGTTTTTACGGAATTTAACTTTTTTATTCTTCGTAAAACCCATAACGGTAGGTTATGGGTTTTATTTTCGTAAATTTGTAAATTTTACAATAGCATTTTGAAATAGGGTAGATAAAGATGCATAATTTTTGCAAGTCTCTCGCTGAGTTTCTTGACGTCTTCTTGGATTATCGTTTACTACTGACTTTTTATGGAAACCATATATATAATCGATTGCTAAATTAGCATCTGCTAAGGTTGAAAATTTTAAAACTTATTAAAGATTTGTGTGAAAAATATTATTGCAATTAGAAGTCTTAATATTATGACCTCACCCCAACTCCCCTTCCTTGTCACAATTCGTCACAAAGCAAAAAATCAACCCACCTTATATACCTTGACGAAAATAATTTTTTTTTTATGATAGAAAAAATTAAGTTTTTTTTAAATTTAATATAATAATGTTTGCTAATTTATGAAATTTAGATGATTTAAAATGACGATTTAAATGAAATTTTAATTTAAGTAATGAAATTTTATTTTAAATGATTTAAAAGATGATGGAAATGAAATTAAAATTAACATTTTTAAATTATTCGACTACCGGCTTCAGACTACCGTACCGTATAGATTATAATAAGATTTCGGTTTCTAAAATGAAAACAATGTTTTTATTTTCCAACGAATTCAACGATACTTTTATAAAAAAAAACTTGATTTATAATACAATTTTACTAAAACGTAATTATAGTTGGTTTGGGTAATGAATATATGTTAAGTAATATTTTAACATAATTTAAATGAAGTTTGTTCTCAAAGTTTCAATAAACAGATTATTTTATGTATTTTGAAGGTTCAAAAAATATTTAATTTTTATTCTGTTGAAAAAAATTGTGTATTTACATATTTAAATATTATATTACAAAGTTTGTTCTCTCTTGTGTATCAATAGTTCTTATAAATTATATTATATAGATATAGATATTTATATCTTTTATTTGATTTAAGTTTTTTATTTATTTAGGTATATCTATTTATACACAAGAAAACTAAATATTAGCTGTAATATAGCCTATATTGTATTTAGATTATATCAGTGGTTATATATAATTCTTTTTCTACTCACCATCAGTATTGGGCTAGATAAAGAAGACTGTATCACAATTCTGGCTACAGATTCTTACTACAACTAGAAGCTTTTTTCCTTTCTTAAAATTAGGGAACAAACTGGAGAACAGGTAACAGAATCAACATTTGTAAATTTACTTGTGAAATCTGAAGCAGCTGGAGTGTCATTTGGTCCAAATCTTATCATACCACATATAGTTCAAATATTTTTTCATTCTCAAAAACTATTTTTTCATTTTCAAAAATTTTGGTCTCAAATAGACCAAGTTAATTGGAAGTTTTGTATAGATAGTTGTTTGCAATAGTTAAGTGCAAGTCTTGATAACCTTAAGCATGATCATCATGATAATGTGGTCATTTTTGCTAATAATGCTGGGACGTAAAAGATGTTTTCCAAAATAATATTAACAAAAATTTTTTTGTCACATTGATTTATCTGAAGGTTTGTATCTCCAAATACACACAATGCTTCAAGCAATTATCTGAACTTCAACAATCATTACAGACTATTATTCAACTAATGATGCTGTAACCAAGGCTTTTTATTTTGTCAAACTGATTTATGTGAAGCTTTTTATCAAATTTCTAAATATATATGCAATGATTCAACCAATTATCTGAACTAAAACAGTCATTACAGACAATTATTATTATTATTTTTTCAACATCTTTACTTTCAACAAGGCTGCAAGCAACCACTATTAGAGTTAGAAGTTACAGGATTAGAAAAGATTAAGTTTATAAAGGTAGATAATGATTAATAGGTGACTTATAAGATTACAAATTATATGCATTAGGAAAACAAGATAAAGGGAGCAAATTCCGAAGAACTGATATTCGCGGAAAAAAACTAAATGAATAAGAGTTTTTGAAGTACTTAGGAACAGACACAGTAAAAAGATGAGACTTTATTGAATGACGAGTAACTCGATAATGAATTTTAGTAGATAGCACTAGAGACACTAGCTCTTTAGAGCAACGCCCATTACAGTTTTTATAGAAAAGAGAAAGAAAAGCAACATTACAACAATGTGACAATAGTTAAAGGTTGGCTTCAAGTGCAGGTCCAAATATGTTACAATGATATTTTGCACCTTATTTAAAAGAAAAAGGGGATCATTTGAAAATTTGCCTCAGATATGGCAAAAGTATTGAATACAAGAACAAAATTGAAATAGAGATGTAGAATAGAATCCAGAGTAAGAAAGTGTCGAGCACAAAGAAGAGATGCAACCTTAGCAAATGCTAACTTATTATATATGGTTTCCAAGTAAGATTGAAAGTAAGAGTTAATCTTAAAAGACAAAGGGATGAATTATAGAGTATATTACCAGGCCTTGTTTTAAATAAAAAATGCTTATTCTATTAGCTTAATGTGATATTTGACGTCTTAAAGTTCTCTTAATTTTTTTATTTTTTAAAGGCATTAACTTTTTTAAATTACTGCAATAATATTAACTACTGCAAAACAAGTTAAATGTTGTTTAATAGATTTTTTATTATAACTATAAGGGATTGTCCATAGATTACGCAACGCAAAAAATATCTCAAGAACAGAAGTAGGAGATATTAAGCTCTTTTACGCAGCGATTTTCATTTAACTTAATTTTCTATTTTGATTATTTATTTAAATTAAGACTCTGCGAGGGAAAGCTTTTCACCTTTTTTTGTTTTGTTTATTGTGAAATTTTGTGTAACGTAATTTATGGACGATCCTTAAGGGAATGCTTATTTTTTATTTTTTATTTATTTTTAATATTGCATTTTTAAAAATGTTTGATATTAACAAATTTCTTTCTTTTCTCTACATTTGCATAAATGAATTAAAATATGTTAAATTTTTAAATTTTTAAAATGATTATTTTTAAAATTTCAACTACAACTGTAACTAAAAATGATTTTTTATCTTAAAAAAATTAGAGAGTAACAAATAAAAAATTACGTTAATTTATTTACTTTACTAAAAATTTATTAGTTTATTATTTTACTATTAAAATTATATTACTGTATATCATTTATTAAAAAAATAATTGCTGTTATTTAACTTGTTTTATAAAAAAAAAAGTTTAACTTATGTTTTGTGCAAATTTTTGATGCAGCCGTTTACTTAAAATTTAATTTTGATTTAATAAAAAAATGCTTAGGAAGGAAAACTGAAAAACAATTGCGATAAATATGAGCTAATTTTTTTAAGAACAAATAAAGTTTCAATATTGGATAATATTTAGTATTATTTTTTAATAAATTTGACAGTTAAGTTAAACCCAAGCATCAACTTTAATTTTAATAAACTTAAATATATTTTTTATATCAAAATTAAATTATATATTTTTAAAATCTAAATTAAATTATATATATTTTTTATCAGAATAAAAAATTTTATTAAATTAGTTTTAGATTAAATCATATATTTTTTTATCAGAATTAAATTATGTTTTTATGATCTTTGCTTTAAGTTTAAAAAACCAATCATTGCAATAAAATAAAAAAAAAATGAAAATAAACTTTTAATTTTATTGGAGTTTTTTTCATTATTAAATAGCACTTATATCAAACATTGTCATTCAAACTTTTGTAACAAATATTTTTACGTAAATGTAATTCAAAAGTTAATGTGACTTTTTAAAATTGATTACATCTTTTATTTTACCGCTTATAGAATAATTTAAAAGCTAAAAAACGATAAAAAGTTGCTTAACCAAAATCGGTTACTGCTTACGTAAAATCACTTAAGGTGTACGTAAATTGCTCTATGTGTAACCCTTTAAAACAAGGCCTGCATTACTGTTCATAAATATAAGAAGATCTAAATTGTTCAATAATGATTACCTCAAAAAAATTGAGTTTTATCTGAGTTAAAGTTCACCAGCCATTGAGAGCATGCAAGTGAGATCTTTTTCAATCAGATAGTGTTGGTTTCTTATCAAGACAAGAATAAATGGTAATATCATCAACGAACAAAACCACCTTAGATGTGAGAATTTCTGGGAGATCGCTAATGTAAATTAAAAAAAGCAAGGATAAAAACTGGAAGAACCCCTAAAGTTACGAAAATAAGAAGAGTGCAGTCCTTTGAAAACAACTTTTATATTATGATTGGTAAGAAAGGATTCAATAATCCTTTATTAATTATATACCGATCACAATATAATTATTGTATATCAGGTAACAATTATAAGATGTTACCTGATATACCTGATATATAGCCTTAATCTCTTCACATCTATTTAATGCCCAATAAAACCTATCAGTTACTAATGTTAACAAATCAGCATTAGAATGAGAAGGTCTAAATCCATATTGATTATCAGAAACTAAGTTATTAGATTCAAGATGAGGGATTAAGTATTTTTTAATTAAAGACTCAAAAACCTTGTTTATGATAGGAAGAAGACTAATGGGACAGTAGTTATACAAGTCAGATTTAACTAGTAATGCAGTATAAAACATTATTCAACCTATGATACAGTAGCCAAGGCTGCCAGTGCAATCAGACATCGTTTATGGTACTTAGGCAAAAAAGTAATGCCTCTTAGCTTTTTGTCAGACACTGAAATGAAACACTGAAAAATGACGACTTAACTATGAGAGCAACCAGATATATACAGGAAAATTTTTTTGTGTCTGTACAAAAACAATAGATTATTTTACCAGGTCTGCATCCTACCTAATCTTTGTAGTCCTTTAAATTTACTTATTGTTTCTGTCAAAAGATTTAGATAAGACTGGCATAAGTCACACCTGCTGTTTATCATAACAGTACTGAATCTTTAAAAGTAATCAGCACAGCGCTGAGAGGGACATTGCTTTAGTATGTTTAATTCCTCTTTTCTTAATTTTATAATGACAAGAAATATCTGGTTTAAGTTGTTGAAAAGCATTGTGAACTTTTTTAACTCAAAATAAGCTATGGTACTTAATAAACAAATGTTATCTATTAGACCTATTGCAGTTGTGATGAACACCAAGCCCGGAACAAAATTTAAACCAGCATCAGGTCGGCACAAAATTTTGAAACAGGGTTCGACAAATTGACAATTGTGCTTTTAAAAATTGTGTTTTTAAAAATGTTGACATTTGCTTAAAATATGAAAAACAAACCAAAGTTTTGATTTTATTATTATTGTTTTATTTGTTATTAATAAAACATTTGTTTTTTAGTTTTTATATTAATTGTTTTTGTTTTTTTAATTTAAATGTTTTTAGAATTTAAATGGAATGTTTGCTTTGCTATTTAATTTCAATATTTATTAGGAATTTTAAAAAACTTTAGATTATCATTTTTATTTTAATTGTTTTATTTACAATATAAATAAAACATTTGTTTTGCTTTTTATTCAAACTATTTTGTGACTATTATATGTATATATATATATATATATATATATATATATATATATATATATATATATATATATATATATATATATATATATATACATATGTATATATATATATACATATGTATATATATATATATATATATATATATATATATATATATATATATATATATATAATTTTTTGTTGTTGTTTAACGGTCACAATTTTTGTAATTATATTATATTATATGCTGATGATGCCGGTGTCTATAATCCGGCGAAAATTTTAAATAAATTATTTAGTATTGAGAGAATTCGTATTATCTGTTTTAAATTAGTTTATATATATATATATATATATATATATATATATATATATATATATATATATATATATATATATATATATATATATATATATATATATATATATATATATATATATATATATATATAAATATATATATATATAAATGTATTCAAGGTTACAGTGCTCAATATTACTAAATAATAGAGCTATATATATATATATTTTTTTATTTAGGTGAATAAAAACAACTGATTAGTGGGACATGTATTAACGTTTGTATTAACAGCTTATGATTGCCTTCGGGCATGAAATTTAAAGTCTTGCTAATCAGTTGTTTTTATTTGTCTAAATAATATATGTATATATATATATATATATATATATATATATATATATATATATATATATATATATATATATATATATAAATATATATATATATACATATTTTATTGGTATGATTTAATATATATTATATATCCATGTTACTTTAGTGACATGTCTGCTCCAAAAAAAAGATTAAATACTACAGCGTCAGCTCGATTGAAACAAGATTATATGAGAATCAAAAGTGACCCTGTTCCATATATTATTGGGGCTGAGCCTCTACCAGCTAATATTCTCGAATGGTAAAACTTAATCATATTTTTTTAAAATAAATTTAAAATTTAGATTAAAACACTAGTATAAAACACATTTTCATAAAGTCAATAATCTGTTCTATCATTACTTTTTTTTATTCTTTGGAGGAAAATATCTGTTGATCTTGGATGCGATCTCTCTTCTGTGACAGGTTGGGCTAGCATTGGTTGTTGCAATTTAATCTCAGTTGTTTACAGCTAATCATTGTTTCAATAATGTTGATATTCCCATGTTAACATTGTAACTGCAGTCTCTACTTTACTACAGACCTCTTAAGAAACCTTTAAATCCATTGCAATTTTAGCAAATGGTAAGGGTGTCTTTCCTGACTGTGCTAAATGGGTATTTTTTGCTACAATAATGGTAGATCTCACCTTTGGTGGTATTAATGAGCAATATTACTACATATGGTTAATGTCTAAAAATGTCTGTTTCTAAAACAAGTAATTGCAGGGGAGATTTAGCATGTTAATTGAATGCACCTTTTCTGTAAAACAAGTTAAATTAAATCTTTTTTCAAGTAAAAATCAGATATTTAATAAAAGTAGAAGCAGCCAATTTTTAAAGTTAAAAACAATTTTATGTGCTTGATAAAGCTGTTAGTTAAACATCGGGAATATTAATAAAATATATAAATCAAAAGTTATAATATATTATGCTAAGTATTTATATTTGAATAACTTGTATATGAAAATTGTTATATATATATATATATATATATATATATATATATATATATATATATATATATATATATATATATATATTTGTAAAAAAATAATGTTTTTGACATAGGCATTACGTTGTAAAAGGACCAGAAAAGTCACTATATGAAGGTGGTTTCTATCATGGAAAGTTGATTTTTCCTAAAGAATTTCCATTCAAACCACCCAAAATAATTATGATAACCCCAAATGGTAGATTTAAAACACATACAAGGTATTTAAGCTGTTTTAATTTGATTTTTTTTTTATTTTTTAAATTAAAATTATTATTATTTTTTAAAATTAATATTAGATGTGTTTCTATAAAATAATTATGATTTTAATGAATATCCAGATATTATGTCAACTCAAAAAAGCTATAATTGTATTAGTCTATATAAGAAAAAATGATGCATAACACAATAGTATATATACTATAAGTTTATATATATATATATATATATATATATATATATATATATATATATATATATATATATATATATATATATATATATATATATATATATATATATATATATATTGATTTATTATATGTCAAGATATATCAAAACAAAATTGATGTCAACTAGCTGTTCAGACCCGTAAAATACGGGTCTTGGTAAATCTATCTACACAAACCATTTCTATACTTGTTCTTTACTTGATATTTTTTAGTAAGCGGTAGAAAAACTATACATATTGTATACATATCTACTTTTTAACTACCAATCTTTTAACTAGATATTTACCTTTTAACTTACCTATACATATCTACCTTTTAAAGTTATGAATGAAAGAATATTATGTAACATAATTAACTTTAGTTTTCCCTTTAATGTGTGTTAAATGTGCAGACTTAATTAATTACCAAAGCATATTAATAACTTATATAAGTATCTCTATTATAATATATGCACAAAATATTTCTACCGCTGTTTTGATGTTAATTGAAATTTTAAGTTTTTTAAAAAACTCTCTGTTTTTTGCTTGTTATAGTATACAATATCTTTATATATGTTTGTTATAGTAAGTATGCAATATCTATTTTTTGTATTTTAGAAAATTTGAAAAGATTAAAAAAAAAAAATTAATGTATAAGCGACAGAATTTGAGCCCTCGTGTCATAATTTAGAAGCGGAGTGAGCTAACCACTTCAGCCACTAAGGAACACTAATATGCCAATTTTTAAAACTATTTATTAAACACAAGATGGAATAAATTTTATAAATTGTCAAATAAATACTATAAATCAAAATTAAGGAGATTTTACTGTAATGCAATTTTTAAATAAAACTTTACAAAGTAAAAATAGCTAGCTAATTACTTTGGCAGCTAAGGAGCATTATTTTAGCACTATTTAATAAACCAAAGACTTTATAAAACAGCAAATAATGCTATAAATTAAAGAGATGTTGCTGCAATCTAATTTTAAAATAAAACTGTAAAACTGTAAAACTTGATATATGTTTTAACATTAATTTGAAGTTTACATAAGTTAGAAATATGCATACATTTTCACGCATTTTTACTTATATAAAAAGTGCTGTGACTTTTTCTCAACATTAACTTGGGTGTAATGACTGCCGTGAGTTCTGTGCAAACATGCACGATTAAGTACCTGCAGTAGCATCAACATTAAATTTGATATTAAAATATTATAACACTTTAAATTAAAATTAAAGTTTTTTTATTTCAAATGAATAAAAATCAAATATAAATATTGTAATAATCAAAACAAATGTAAAAAAATTTGTTCGAAATCTTTATAAATATGTTTTTATAAATTTACTGTAATGACTGTAAATGGCCAATATTTGTTTCAACATATCATTTGTTTCAACATACAATTTGCTTCAATATATCATTTGTTTCAACATTTTTATATGTTTCAACATATTATTTGTTTCAACATTTTCATTTGTTTTAACAATTTGTTTCAACATATAATTTGTTTCAACATATAATTTGTTTCAACATATTATTTGTTTCAACATATCATTTGTTTCAACATATCATTTGTTTCAACATACAATTTGCTTCAATATATCATTTGTTTCAACATTTTTATATGTTTCAACATATTATTTGTTTCAACATTTTCATTTGTTTTAACAATTTGTTTCAACATATTATTTGTTTCAACATATAATTTGTTTCAACATATTATTTGTTTCAACATATCATTTGTTTCAACATATCATTTGTTTTAACATATTTGTTTCAACATATTATTTGTTTCAACATATCATTTGTTTTATCATATCATTTGTTTGTTTTTGTGTTATATTAGTTACAAACCTAATTGAAAAGAATTTATTTTTAAAGAACTTGCTGCGCGATATGTTTTTATAGAGGTTTTTATTTGAGGTTTTTTCTTCAGGTTTTTTTAAGCTACTCTTTCCAGTAGGTTGACATAAGATAGGAACTGTTGAAAATACATTAAAAACTACATCTTTATTTTTTGAATTTTTTTTCTTAAAATATCAAATGTTTGAAAAATGGGGTTCTAAACTTAATATGGATGTATCTTTTGAGCATCGAATATATTTTATTAAAATTTGAAATCTTAATATTAGCACAATAACAGTTTCAATTTTCCCCTTTACATAAATCTGTTTGGAACCACATTTAAGTTGTCATTTTTTGACATTGTTAAACTTATCTGAGCAGTGTGTTAACTTGCAGATGTTTTTAACATCTCAAGTCTTCTCAATAAGCGCCTGTGGTCACCCGCCTTATAAGACTGCATATACAATTTTTTTTCATTTGTCAACTTTTCCACAGTTTTTTGCATAAATTGATAGTCTGCGTGTTTTTAAAAAATATGCTGAATAAAAATAAAAAATTAACAAACCATAAACTGAAAAAAGAAGCAAACTTAACGAATGATAAAATAAATATAGTTTAAGAGTAGATAGGATTTGCCGGTTCTGGCTCATTTTCATTTTCAACCATTTATTCAACCATATATTTAAATAAATATATGGTTGAATAAATAAACATATACATATAAATAAACATATATCTCATTTACATGATATAAACATCATGTAAATGAGATCTTATGACTCATTTTTCTCATTTGATCTTTTCTATTCATAAGGCAGTCTTTGTAATCTTCATGTGTTATATATTTTTTAACTACATTTTTCTTTACTCCCTTACATTTTTTTTTTATCTTCTCCATGTACTTTGTATGAATACAATTTTGATCTTAGACCTACAAATTCTTCAATTTGTTTTCCTGCTGACTCAAATTTAAACATACCAATAACTTTCTTATTTAGTCCTACTTTAAATCCATTTTGAATAGCTAGATGATTTTTGTCAAATTCACTTGTATCAAATTTACTTTCAACATCATTTACAATATCAGCATAAAAGTCTTTTGTTTTTATTTCATATGTTAATCAATCTGTGTCTGTGAATGAGAGTTTTGCTTTATCGTTATATTTACTTTTGATGAAATCATAATGAAATTCATACATTAATATCTTACTTAAATCTAAGATACACATACCTAAGTAAATGGGTTTATTATAAACTAGTTTTGTTCTTTTCATATGTATTGCAATTAAGTTTTCATCAAATATTGTTCTACTTTCGTAGTTTGGTTTTGATGCTAATTTAATTGCTTCTTCTCTTTTAGTGATTAATCTAACATCAACTCTGTTTTCAATGTTTTCCATTGTTTTTCCAAATACTAAGTTATTCATGAGTTTAAAAAACTCTTTTTCAAAGTCATTAGTAGCTTTTGTTCTCAAATTTGTATTGAGCTCAATTTACTTACTTAGCCATGCACTCTCTTCAAACTTTATGCCTCTGTGAATTTTAGTCAATTTCAATCCTAATCTTTCATACAATTTCAAGTTTTCATAGTGGATGATATAGTTTTTCTTATGATTTAAATTAGGCACTAATTTTTCAACTTTGTCAATTTTTAATCTCTCAGGTGCAAGTAGATAATCATTATGAGCATCATGTAAATGTTCAGGATATTCTAAATCTACTTCTAATATACAAGAAATAGATTTCCAATTTTTTAATTCTTCATCATTCATCCACTTAAATCCATGTGTAGGAAGTGGTTTACTCATTGCCCATCCGTATAAATTATAAGCATCTAAATACTGTAAGTAGGTAGATTCTTTACTTTCATCATAGGTTTCCATATATTTATTATTAGCAGTTCCTAGTCTGTTAGAAATCATACTAATTCCACCTCTTATTCCTTGCTTTATCATTAAGATCATATCATAATCACTAAATAATTCTAATTCTATTTTTGTTTCTTTCAATGCGGCATCCCAAGCTAACCCTGGTGAAGTATAGTACCAAACAGGATCTAATTTATAATTTTTAATGCAAACATCTCTAAAATTCTCAAATACATCAGCTAATAACAATACATCTGAATTGTATAAATTATGATAATCTCTAAAAGTTTTACAATAAAACTCTTTCCATACAGTTTGTGTATGTGAGTAATCTTCATCACTTCATCATTTAATCTTGAAAAGAAGAGTTCTTTCGATGGTAATTGCGTTTCATTTAATTTATCAATAGAATTAACCCATTCATAAGGATAAACACCTTTTCTTAATTATAAATCTAGCTTATTTCCTGAATAGTATTTTTCAATATTTTTACATTGCTCTTTTGTTAGATTCTTAGATAAGCTATCTAAACTAGAAGCCATAAATCTATAACTATCAACGAAACGGAGTTGCAGGCCTTGCGATGAATAAGAACTGCGCGATGCATAAGCACGACGTGATTTTTGATGTCATTAAATTCTTTTTATTTGCTTTTCATATTTATAGACATTAACTGCACCAATTTACTTAATTACCGCAAAACTACTTTAAATCGTTTATGTAGAAATGTTATTATTTAAAAATGTTTTGGAATGTTTCTTTTTTTAAAATGTAAAAACATTTGTTTATTTTCTCGACGTTTGTCACGTTTTGTCTATACTAAACGAATAAAAAACATTATAACTTAAATTTAAAAAAGATTATAAAATATGCTAATTTTTATAAAATATGCTAAATTTAAAAAAGATTATAAAATATGCTAAAATATTTGATTTTTTTATATGTAATTTAAAGTTTTTCAAATAATTATTTTTTCTTTTTAAAAAGTCAGCGAGTAATTAACTGGAAATTTTAATATTGTACGATTAAAAACTGTGCAATAGCTAATATTTTTACAAGCGATTTTATATAATAT